GATGAACGGTGAGAGCCTTAGCAATTTTGATTGGGTTCCTAGAGGCTTTTTAGCGAGCGGTAGCTGGAAGTCCTGTTGAAACCCAGATTGAGCGTGTTGCAGCCAACGGATTCTTGCTGACTTTATCTCGTCAAAGTTGCGAGAATTTGATGTTCGTTTCGAAGATGGGTTTTTCATGCGAGGAATGAATCGCAAAACATAACCAAGCGTGTGTATAAGCTTCAGCCAAGATGATTTGCGATTTAGAAGCTTATTTTCCGGAAGCGGATTTTCCGTTGTGACAAATACCTGCGCAGCTAGGCAGTTGGTTTTGATCTCGCTTCTATGAAAAGACGTTTGTTTGAAAGAGAAGAACAGTTGTGAGAACTGTTCAACTTTACTAAAAATTGATCTTTGTCCCTCAGCCATAAAGGACCCTTCACCATAATTGGAAATCAATGAGCTCGGATACTCCCAAGCCCCGGGATGCACAATCCTCTTGGTTCGATTTTGAGTCCACATGCCGCCATGCTTGCTTAGGGATGGTTTCCAAGATCTCGGCGGTGCGGTTCCCAAAAAACATCTTTAGTTGAGCTGGTGAGTACGCTAGCCATGATAGAACTATTGTGGAGTCGCTCCATGCATAGATTGTCAAATCCTTGTGTTTTAATCCAGCCTTGATGGATTGCAGAAGTTGGTTTAGAAGAAGTGCACCGCACAGTTCCAGGCGTGGCACAGATTTTTTCTTTAAGGTGCCACCCTTTTTTTTTGCTGCAAGTATGGCTACCGAAATGGTTCCATCGTCCTTAACCATTTGGCTGTACACTACGGCTGCGTATGCCTTCGTGGATGCGTCTGAAAATCCGTGCAATTCAATCTTGTCGGTGTCGCTCTCGACCAAGCGTGGTATCTGGAATTGTGCTAGGTTTTCTAAATCTGCTCGCCACTTGTCGGCTAATTTGTTCGGTAGTTCATCGTCCCATTTCAAATTCAACAGCCAGACTTTTTGAAATAGTATTTTGAATTAAACTACGGTTAGTGCTAATAGACCGAGAGGGTCGAATATGCGTGACACATACGACAACACTTGCCTCGTGGTGCAGCTTGGACTCTTTGCTAGATTCACAGTGTACGACATGGTGTACTTCTTAGGGTGCCAGTGCAGCCCTAGAACCTTTACCGATGAGTGTGAGGAACCCTTTTTATCCTCCGATTCAATGTATTTGGTATTCGATACCCATTTCCCGAGCTCTAGCTTAGCACAGGACATCAGTTGGAAGAAGTTGTCCCGATTTCGTCGCAGCTCGTCCTCACTATTGGATCCAGTGGAACGTCATCCACATCTTTCATCAAACGTCTTTCATCAAGATTTTTTCTGCACTTGGAAATTCCTTCTGGTGGTCAGCAGCCAGTTGCTCCAGTACTCGAACTGCTAGGAATGGTGCGCATGATGTTCCATACGTCACCGTGCAAAGTTGGAAATGTTTGATGGGATCTGACGGATTCTCTCGCCATTCAATTCTCTGAAAATTTCTATGTTTTTCGCTCACACAGATTTGACGGAAAATTTTGACTATGTCCGCTGAAAATACGTATACTGAACCGAAGGCACACAGCAAACAGGAAATTCCGTTTGTCGTTTGGAAATTCCTTCCGTTGGGAATTTTGCTAGGTGAAATTTCTCGCATGTGTCCTAGATTTTTATATTCTCTCATGAAGTTCACTTAATTGTTACGTAGCTGTTGATTTTGTGCTAAATGGAGTTCAACCGATTTCAACCGCTGGAAAGCTTCTTAAAGGGTGTCTGCGAATTCAGGATCTGAGGCTGTATAAGGAAGCTCCACGATGTATTCTCCTCGATGTATTCTTTTTCCCAGCACTAGCACCAAACATGCTCGCTGCCCCAAAGAATTTTGATTGGGCAAACAATACCAAAACAATGACCAAACAATACTAATGTATGTGTTAGAATAGCGCAATTGCATCAAGAAGAGCCAGAAGATATACGAGCTGAACGCAAAAAACTCAGAAGATTAGAACAACGAAAATCACGTCGTTTTACAGTCAATAGACGCAAAACAAATGACCAAAAACAACAATGATTCATTCCTGCGTCTAGCATTCCAGTGTGAGCCTGATATTGAGTATTATGCTCACTTAAATGTGGTAATTGATGCTATGGACAAGAAATTTCCACATTGTCATGCGCTGAAATTCAAAAATGAGCCAGCTGGGATGTGTTGCGCGTCAGGAAAAGTGCAACTTCCAAAAATTGAAACACCACCTGAACCATTGAGCCTACTTATCGGCACGGATCCAGATTCTAACGTGTTCCTGAAGTAAATTCAAACATTCATTCATGCAGAAATAGTTTGAAATACTAATGAAAATGGTCAACATTACAACTCTACATTCAAAATCAGAGGCCAAGTTTATCATAAAATGGGCTCACTACTGCCAATGCCAAACGAACCATATAAATTTTTACAAATCTACTTTATAGGCGGCGAGGATTCCGAAAGCTCAGTTGCCCATCGCGTGAATGCACGTTGTGATTATACTAACCTTGATTCATTTTCTGCCAGACGTATCGTCAGCGAGCTAGATGCTTTATTGAACGAGCAAATGAATTGTTGAAAAAATTCAAATCACATATGGACCAATTACAAAGCGATAAACACGCTATCGTCATTAATCCTGATAAAAAACCAGCTTGAGAGCTGAAATAATGTTTGCCTTTTGATATTTTAATATTCCCTCATGGTTGACAGCGCTCCAGATGACTTTATAATACATAAGTCTAAAACTACGTAACAGAAATTATAAAGTCATCTGGTGGCAAAACATTGTTTGCCGAGTCTCTTCTAAAAATCGATTTAGAAAGAAATAGATTGGCATCTAAAGTTTTTCAAAATAACGTCCTGAACTGGAGCTATTCAATTAGAGAACTGGAGAAATATGCAATTTGTGAGGGTGGAAGGGAATGTGTAAAATTATTGCGGGTCTTAAAGTCCCTGCCCACTCAGTTCATTAATGTTTTTAGGAAATATTTTAATAAACTATTTTAATAGTTAATTTACACCCACAAATCAAAATTTAGCCAAATACAATATTTTGTAAGAGTTATAAAAGAATTATAAATGTTTAAAAAGAGTTACTTTTAATTCTTCTTTAGTATTCACTCACAAATCAAATTTCAGCCAAATCGAACAATTTTTAAAAGAGTTGTAGAAGATTTATATACATATAGTAACATATCAACAAAATTTTTTTAAGTGTATATCAGTAAATTTTGTAAACCGAAGCTGAAGCCTTTTATATTTAAATTCGTAACCCAGCTGCAAATAGCCTCATTCCAATGTTTTGTAAAAACATAAACATTTAATTATACCGATTCGGCTAAAAACAGACTCATTTCAGATTTCCAATTTCTAAGAGTCACTTCAGATTGAAAACCAAAACAATATTTGGGTAAACAGAAATCCGGACTCAAATCTTTCTCACTCCTTTTAAGCGAATTAAAACTAAACAGATCAAAAAATTCTTAAATGGGAACCCACTTCACAGGAAATTTCACATTTTCCAAAGCCTTCCATGTCAACTGACACCTCAAGTAAAAGGTTCCGACTCAATCTATTCTCCTCAAAAAACAAAGCCTCTCAGAGAGAAAAGCTTCTTTCGAGCTTTGATCTGCAAAAAGCTTCAGCAAGGGTAGGTCCTATAAAAAGGACCTAGAGCCCCAAAGTTAAGTTAGTTCTGAAATTCTAAAATTCTAAGCAGTTTTTCTGAAATTCTAAGCAGTTTTAAAGAATCGCACTGTATCAAAACCGGAACTCAAATAAAAATATATTTTTTCAAACTATTTTGAAGAAGATATTTAATTATATGTATGTTTAATAGAGTTCTGTTTTTCTACTGAATCGGTTGTTTTTTTCCAAGCGCATAAAGATGCAACAAAAACTTTTGTCTGAGAATACATGCCTTTAAAGTTTAAACTATAAAGGTTAGTTAAAGTTTGTGTAAAAGATATGAGTATCGGTTATATTATAATCAGGAAACTTTACTATAAATCGCCATCTCGGCAAACTCGACATTTTTTTTCAAAGTTTGAGCTATTACTAATATTAGCTATTTATAAAGTGTTGATTATTGTGTCAAAAAAATTGATAAGACATTGAGAGTTTGTGCTATGCCTAGGCTAGGGGTATATTATAGACAGGAAAATCACCTATAACCTGCCATCTCGGTAAACTCGACATTTTTTTTTCAAAGTTAGAGCTTATACTGTCCATTTTATTTTTTTCAACTAACCTGACCTACAAAATTTCAAGGGGTCGGTCGACTATATCCTATATCTGCCATAACTAAACGGTTGTAAATGACACATTTTTGGTGTTTAAGCCATTTGTAAAGATTTTTTTAAAAATCTTCAATTGCGTGGGTATTACAGAAGTCTTCATGTCAAACGCTATATGGTAACCCTAGCTCTACCATATAACCTCGGATATGCATGCGTTCATACAGACAATCGAACAGATATACATGGCTATGTCTGTTTATGCTGATCAAGAATATAAATACTTTAAGGAGTTAGAGATGATTTCAAATACGGGATGATGTTGTTCAGTGTATCATAAAGTGTTCTCTTGTTTAAAATGGAAATTTGAAATTTATTTCTGTATTGAGCTGTAGAAACAAACCATTATTGGGCCGAAGGATATTGCAACTGTTTAAGTACATACAAAACCGGACAATGAAATCCGGAGGGGCAGAAAATAAAAGGTTTTATGATTAGAGGTCATTTTCTGGAGTAAATTTGTTTGAATCGGTGAAACGAAGATATTGGATAATATTGCCAAGTATTAACATTAATCATACTAATTGAAAGTGCACATCTAGTGAAAGTACCGCATATAAATGCGAGCTACTGTATATACTTTTGTGGTGGACTCTTATAATATTTTGATATATAGTATATACCATTTTACTTTAAATTACTTTTTGAGGGATACAAGTCTTACCTGTCCAGTTGATGATGTCTGCAAATAAGAAGAAACGTCCGTCTCGATCATACAGCCTCTCAAAGTTTCCGGTATAAACATACCTTTAAAGATTTTTCAAGCATTGAATAAATCTCGCATTTTAGACAACATCAAAGAAATCTAAAAAATATATTTGAAATCTAATACGTTAAATCAAAATATTTTAAAATGTATATATGATGTGATTTATTTAAACTAAATATTAAATATTGATAAAAAATTAGTATAATGTTTATAGGGTCAGAAGGCAGCCCGCCACTTATCATTGTAAATAAGATTAGATAATTGGTCGCAAGCCGACTCTTTTTGAAAAGCTTTTCGCCCTTTCGGTTATCGGAGCTTTAGCTTTAAGTCGGGACGTCGGAAATGTTTAAGTCGGAACGCACTCTCCTAGATATCACTGCATTTGCAAAATAAATTGGTCTACCTTCGGGTCATACAATTTTAGCTGCATGCAGGATGAATTAAATATTCTTATAAAGTTTTAATCATCCATTAAATTTAAACAATTTCATGTAAAGTTTAGTCATTGAAAAATCCTATGACTGAACATTGGTGAACATTGACTGGACAGTTGAGCATCCGACTATATTATCCCCGGTACTCATATATTCAACCCACATTTCAACTAATATTAACTTAACTTACTAATTTTATTCTAAGTCTTAGAACCACACTAACGTTTACAGTCGATTTACAGCAGGTGTGCCCAAGAAGTGCCAGTTAAGCAAAAGATTGCAATTTTTTTTTAAATTTGCTTTTAGCAACAATCTAGCAATTTTAATTTTTTTCTAAGTAAATTTAGCAATTATCTTATAAAATACTCATCATTTTTACACAATTTTACATTGACAGAGCAATTTTTGTGAATAAAATTTACAAAGATATCGAATCTGGTACTTAACTCAAAGAAGTATAAATAATTTGAAAACGTTTGGTCAAAGATGCAAAAAGTTTATAAACTGATTTAAAGAATTTAAAGAGTGGATTCGAAACGATTCCTCAGATCCACAGAGTGCCTATTGTGATTATTGTCAATGCAGAATAGGCGCCAAGCTTTTTGATATTCGCCACCACGCTGCTAAAAATAACATGTGCGTGCAAACATTACACGCTATTTTATATTATAAAGTAAGTTTTATACAAAATCTATTTAATAGAAATGCCAATCGCACAAAATAAACAAATTTCAAAATTAAATAAACAAACAAAAAACAAAAGAAATGCACAAAATACTAATTCTCTTAACATCAATCTATAAGACGAGAAAAATTCAAAGAGAGCGAAAATGTTCAATTACCTCTTAATTTGTTTAAACATAATTTAATTTTAATTGCTTCGCATTAAGTGAAAACAGGTGGATAAAACTTCATGTGTTAAGTCATTTTAGTGTAAACTATGGAAATTTAAAAAAAAATTCTTACTTTTTCAAGCAAATTTTTTATATTGAATTTTAAAGTGGCGTACGTTTGCGACCGTATGTATGACCACTAACCATACAGCATATAGACAACCCATTTCATAAAACGAAAATGGACGCAAAAATTTCTTGCGACAGGCCCCAGCAGGCCCCAGAGAGGATTTGTTACGCTCTCTTACGCTCATCGTTCGTTCATCTTACGCTCATATTCTCATAGAATGCTTTCTGTTTCTCAGTCGCTGAAAGGAGCGCGACTTTTTTATGTATGCGTGTCACACATTCACATACACGGGGGAATGTGTGCGTGCGATTTCGTTTCGAAGCCAGCGCACAAAATTTTGATTTTTCGAACTTTTCAGGCTGTCTACCCTAACAACATGCCCCCGTGTATGTGAATGTGTGACACGCATACATACAAAGAACATATAAAACATAAATTTATTTATAAAAACAAAGAGGTAAAAACAAAAAAATACAAGAAAGGAAAGCTAACTTCGGGCGGAGCCGAAGTTTATACACCCTTGCAGTTAAAACCTATATCCGGTCGCATACATCGGATATAGTTGGCCGATCCTTATGGGAATATAAATATATAATCCAATTTATTACAATACAAAGTCTTAAAAAAATCCCATACTTCTATGGGAGAAGTATTATTTTGCCAAAGATAGCGCTCATGTAAAATTTAAACTCTCTTACTCTAAAAACACCGAAGTTATACCATTTCCGATCAATCAGTTATATGGCAGCTATAGGATATAGTCGGCCGATTCCGGTCGTTCCGACTTATATACTGCGTGCAAAGAAAAGAAGGGTGAGTGCAAAGTTTCAAGTCGATAGTTTTAAAACTGAGAGACTAGTTCGCGTAGAAACAGACAGACAGACAGACGGACAGACGGACAGAAGGACAGACGGACATGCTCATATCAACTCAGGAGGTGATCCTGATCAAGAATATATATACTTTATAGGGTCGGAGATGTCTCCTTCACTGCGTTGCACACTTTTTACCAAAATTATAATACCCTCTGCAAGGGTATAAAAATCGTACGTACTTAATTTAATTTAAAAACAAGAAAGGAAAGCTAACTTCGGGCGGAGCCGAAGTTAATATACCCTTGCAGTTAAAACCGGATATATATCGCAAACATCGGATATAGTTGGCCGATCCTTATGGGAATATGAATATATAATCCAAATTATTACAATACAAAATCTAAAAAAAGTCCCAAACTTCTATCTTCAAACATACTAAAGTTGGTGTTTCTACCAAAAACCATTTCCGATCGTTCAGTTATATGGCAGCTATAAGATATAGTCGGCCGATCGTTATGAAATTTTGTAGGTCGGATCAACTGACCTAAAAGATAATCTGTAAAGATAAACTGACCTAAAAGATAAAAAAAAAAAGACATGCCAAATTTCGTAAGGATCGGCCGACTATATCCTATAGCTGCCATATAACTGAACGATCGGAAATGACGCAACTTTCGTGTTTTTGAAGATAGAAAGCTGGAACTTGGTACAGATTATATTTTTGGTCAGCTTGTCCGACCTACCAAATTTCATAACGATCGGCCGACTATATCTTATAGCTGCCATATAACTGAACGATCGGAAATGGTATTTGGTAGAAATACCAACTTTGGTATGTTTGAAGATAGAAGTTTGGGACTTTTTTTAGATTTTGTATTGTAATAAATTGGATTATATATTCATATTCCCATAAGGAGCGGCCAACTATATACACTTCGACTCCGCCCGAAGTTAGCTTTCCTTTCTTGTTTTGTTTTGAATACGCTTCGAGCGACACCAGAGGTCAGGATGGATACATGCATTATGCCTCAGCCCTGGAATATATGCGGAAAGAATAGAATGAAGGAGTCCAATAAACAAAAAAAATTGTAAGTGAATAGGAGGGAGATAGTAGGAGAGCATTCTTACTCATTGCTATTCTCTTGTTTTGAATCCGATTAAGGGGACCCCCCCCATTCTCGATTTTAAATTTTGACGATTTTCAATGGGCTGGCAAATGAACATAAATTATTTTTTAGGGTTGTAACTGTGCTTACATATATTAAGACACAAAAAGGAAGAAAATCATTTCACAGAATTTTTTTTTGTTTTGTTTTTGTTGTTGTTTTTTGTGATCAAAGAAAAGCCCTTCTTTTCGGCGGCGCATGTGATTTCCGCTCACTGGAACATCTGAATCCAAAAATTTCAACGGGATTAGAAAAAGTACATGTTTGGCTCTCGTATGAACTAGGATTATTAACTTCGCTCAAAAATTAACAAAATGGTGGACCTTTGAAATTTTTTTTTGGAAATTTCCATTTTTTTCAGTCACAAATCGAGTTGAAAAGTAAGGAAGATCTTCACCGATTCGATTTATCCTAGTTCATACGAGAGCTATATATGTATAGAACAACGTGTTAAAATTTGGAACCGATAGGATTAATAGTTTTTGAGTAACCTCATGCGCCAGTCGTAAAAACACTATTTCGAGAAAAACGCGTTTAAAGTTTTGAGATGGCTCTCGCCGTCGCCTGAGGCTTCCACCATAAATCGGCTATATCTTTAAGAGTTTTTGAAATTTTTACTTGAAATTTTCAGGGAACATTCTTGAATAGTTACAAGTTCGAATTAAATTAAAAAAAAAATATCGATTTTTTAAAACCGAGAATGGGGGGGGTCCCCTTAAGTTGGAGTGGGAAGAAAATAAAGGAATTTCCGATTTTTGAAAGCCAACGAACACCTCGAATGGTTTTTAAGCAAGCAGCAAGAGCAAGGATGAACAGTCTAAAGCACTTTAAAGGCGGATGACCAGCGGTGGATTTATCAGCAGTTTCTAATTTGTTTTGTTTCTCCCAGATTCGCATACGCGTTGCTACGATTTGTAGCGCATGTTTTTTTGGAAGTTTTGTAGAACTGCTGCACACTAGCGCGTCATGTATTTATATGTGTATCCCCGCCTCACCTCTTTCCCACGTAACAATAGCCAGCTGCTTTTTTTTTTTGAAGCGTTGCTTTTATTTCTTTAATCTTTTCTTTGCGAGACTAACAAGAGGTGTATCAAATCTTACATAACTTAACTTACAGTCATATGCACTGCTTCAGAGTTAGACGGCTATAAAAATTGATTGCTGGGTTGGGAGGTCGTTGGGTCGCAGGATACGCTAGAAACCCGAGTCAGTCTCCGAGCGAGAAAGTTTGGGTTGGAAAAAAAGTTGTTCTTTTTATGACTCTTTTTGCTTCTGAGGATATTTTCGTTGCGAACATACCAAGGTGCCACAATGATAACTCTCAAGAATTTTGATTGTGTCATGTCTATGTTACCGCATATATGTCCTTACCATGACAATTGTTACTATTCATGCTCAACTGGGCATCCCTACAGTCAGCGCTGAAATTAGAAGATTCGCCGCTAAATACAAGGACAAACTAACACGACATCCAAACACATGTGCCACCAATTTGCTGGACAGCAGCACCACCATCAGAAGACTCAAGAGGAAGCATCCATTGGATTTACTAAATTAACTTTTTACATTCATAGCTTGTATTTATCAAACTCCTATTGTCAAGGTTAACTTAAAAATTTAATTATTGTACCTAATTGAGGACAGATTGTAAATAAAACTTTCAAATGTTACAAAAACAAGAAAGGAAAGCTAACTTCGGGCGGAGCCGAAGTTTATAT